CCAGCTGGTACACTGATACAGATGGGTTCCTAGAACACTCACTAATGGGGGAAGCCTGTGCTACAAGGGGCTCACCCTCCAGAAGATAGTTCTTGTTTTATGGGGGTTCCCACCCACCTTGTAGTGATTTCTCTGAATTCTGTTGACCTTCTTATTCCAATTCTAGTTCTTCTGATGCCTGGTTAATTACATCCCTGCCCTGGGCTCAGTGAAACACCCCTACTTTCTTACAATTTCCCCTCTTCTACTTAAAATAGTTCAAGATTGTGTCTTCTACTTGTAAACAAACATCCTGATGAATGCTTAGCGTTAAGCATTCTGTCTCCACAAACCTGTCCTGTGAAACAGTTGTTCCTCCAGAGTCACCCTATGGTGTGCACACTGCACTTTCCTTAGCAATGTGCTCCACTCAGCAATCCTGCTGGGCAAATCAGATGAGAAAAATGAATGAAGCAGAGTGGGAAGAACTGGACAGAACTGAATTACAATCTAACCACATCATTTATTTGCTGTTTGACCTTAAACAAGTTCCTTAAGCTCTTTGAGCCTCCACTTATTAATAAATTAACACCTGCTTTGCAGGGTTGATTAAATAAAATCAAGCTTGTAAAAATTCTAGAGCAGGGTGAGGCACAGAGTAGGCACTCAAAGTCTGATGGCCACAGATAAAGCATGGAATGGTGACCTATAAGTATTATGGTTCTTGGCTTAGTCACTGTGGTGATATTGTCCCTCAGTACTCAGGGACATATAAAACATTCCTCCATAGTAAACAATGAGGTAGTTAGATGGTTTTCAGTTTTCTCTTATTAACATTACTCTACAATGAGCATTCCTACAACCAAATCTTTATGCACATACTTATTTTTTTAGGATAAATTTCTCTAAAGCCAAACCCCAGGTATGTTGCCCTGGCTCTTAATGCATATTGCCAAAATTCTTCCCCCCAAAACTAAACCAAATTACACCTATGCCTTGTGTATGCCTGCATGTCATTTGTCCCAAATCCCTTTGTTCTATAATAACTGAGTTTTAACTGAGTACATGGCTTCCCAGGCTATCCATGTTACCAGCTTCCCTTGCCATCAAGTGCAACCATGAAACTAAGTTCTAACCATTGCGCCATGAGATTTGCAACTACAACATCATTTACTTAAAAGGAAACTGCTGGCCCTCGAGTGCCTCTCTTTCTGCTTCCCCATTGGCTGGAATTCAAACCCAATTAGGACATGTAAGTGAGAACAATACCCTAGGAGACAGTAGAGCAAAAACACTGAAGGACTTTGGGACCCTGAACAACTTCATGGAGCATACACCCACACCCTCAGTAGACTGGAGCACTCACCTCCAACTTGTTAGAGAAGTGATTCTATGCTACAGAATCTCAGCCTATATCTTTCTTACCAGTTTCATTGAAAAATAATTGATGTCCTGGCTGGTGTGGTTCAGTGGATTGAGTGATGCCTTGAGAACTAAAGGGTCACTGTTGTGATTCCCAATGAGGGCACATGCCTGGGTTGTGGGCCAGGTCCCCAGTAGGGGGTGCACGAGAGGCAACTGACTGATGTTTCTCTCTCTCCTTTCCTTTCCCTCTCTCTAAAAATAAATAATTAAACTCTTAAAAATTGTTCTAAAAAGGAAATAATTGGCATACATCACTATGTAAGTTTAAAGTGTATAGCACAATGATTTGATTTACATGCATTGTGAAGTGATTGCCACAATAGGTTAGTTAACATTCATCATCTCATATAGATACAATTTTAAAAAAGAACAATTTGTTTTTATGATGAGAATTCTTAAGATCTATTCTCTTAACAACTTTCCTCTATACCATGCAACAGTGTAAGTTATAGTCATCATGCTGTATATTACATCCTTAGTACTTACTTATCTCATAACTAGAAGTTTGTACCTTTTGACCATCTTCCTTCAATTCCCTCTTCCCTGCCTCTGACAATCACAAATCTGATATCTTTTTCTATGATTTGGTAGGGGGTTTTGTTGGTTTTGGTTTGGTTTGTTTAGATTCCATATATAAGTAAAATCATATGGTATTTGTCTTTGGCTTATTTCACTTAGCATAATATCTTCAAGGTTGTTGCAAATGGTAGGATTTCCTTGTTTTTTTTTATGGCTGAATAATATTCTGTTGTGTGTATATATGCATATATACTCATATATGTGCCAAAAACCTCTGCTCACGACTTGATGCATGAGCAGGCACATTGTCATGATCAAGGTGCCAGTCACCAGTTGCCTATAGCTGCAGCCTTCTGGATCATCTGAATAGTTTCTGCAGAGGAATGTTCAAGCTTAATGCAAAATTTCATGCAGATTCGTTGCTCTACTCACTCAGTCCTTTTAAAAGCAATGGCCACATGCTTACTCAGTGGCGTCTACTGCCCCCACTGACTAGTACAGTGAAGTCATCATAATTCATGCATGCTCATTCCAGTCCATTCTCCTCTGTATTATGTACTTTTTGGCCCAACGCTTTTTTCCTAAGGCAGGGACAGCAGGTGACAAAAGGAAGTGAGTTGATTAGTCTGTGCCAAACATGATCACCCAGGGCTATTCATTCTTCAGGGGCTACAGCCAGAGTTCTTCTACATTGATGACACGCAAACCATTCTGGTTATATTAACAATGGCTGGACTTTTTCCAGACAGACCTTGTATATTACACTGATGCACTATCATAGTACATTAGTGTTGGATTACATGTGAGAGCTTCAGTATTATATATGGATGATTCTAGAAATAAAGTGAATATTAAGAGGATTCATGCAAACTATTCCTAAATAGATATATAACATTTCCCTTGCTATTGCTCTGTAATCAACACCTCCTTTGTTCCCCTTCTCTCAAGGATTACAGTTCTGTTATCTACTGTCTAATGTCTGAAAACAGTTGCTTCATTTATTTCATCGTTTTTTTGTTGTTTATTGTGGGAAGGTAAATGCATTATTCTGTCATGGCCAAACCAGAAGTCTCTATGAAACTTTGAATCCTATTTTTCTTCCTTAATGCCATATGCTAAGGATTGTCTTACATTAAATAAACTTCCAGGGAACAACACAGATCTAAAACCTGGTTAATAGAACTGGCCTTTCTTCAGCTATAGGTCATTAATCCTTCACCATAGAGGTAACCACAATTCTGTTTTTCCTATTTTGCTGCTACCATTAACTCCCTCTGCATTTCCTCTGTATTATGTACTGCAATGCTTCTCTTTTTTCATAACTTTGATCTACTGAAGGCTTATAGTGGTCTCTATGAACCCTTTCAGCTTCAATTTCAGCTCCTACTATCAACTACTAAATCACCCTCTGTATCCCATGTTGGAACTAAAAAAAAAACCTGATTGCTACCCTGGCCCTCTCTGGGAGGAACTTTTTGGCCCAACACTTTTTTCCTAACTAAGGCAGGGAGAGCAGGTGACAAAAGGAAGTGAGTTGATTAGTCTGTGTTGAACATGATCACCCAGGGCTACTCATTCTTCAGGGGCTACAGCCAGAGTTCTTCTAGGGAACAGCGGGTCTGGCAATCACTGAAATTGGCTTGATAACAGAGGTCTATTTACAAATCTAATTCTCCTTCTAAATGTGAGCTTTTGAGAGTAGGAGGCATGTTTTAAGTATTATTTAATGCTTAATGCCCTGCACATTGCTAGGGACAGGTAAGTTCTCAATACATTTTACTGAATGAATGAATGAATTGATGAATGGCTATCTTGGCTTCTCCACTAGACTGTAGGATCCTTTGGTTGGCCCCAGAGTTTAACATAGATGCTTAAAAGTAACAGATTACGCCTGGCTGGCGTAGCTCAGTGGATTGAGTGTGGGCTGCAAACCAAAGCATTGCAGGTTTGATTCCCAGTCAGGGCACATGCCTGGGTTGCAGGCCATGACCCCCAGCAACTGCACATTGATGTTTCTCTCCCTCTCTTTCTCCCTTCCCTCTCTCTCTAAAAATAAATAAATAAAATCTTAAAAAAAAACCTAAAAAAATAAAAAGTAACAAATTATAAGACTACCCTGGGGATTATTTTAAGAAATACTGTTTTAAAAAGTAAATGAAGTACTAACAGAAGTTTTTTCAATTTTTACTTTAATGATTTTAATTAGTATATGTATCTATTCTTAAACTGTACATAACAGTTCTGGAGTGACCTAGATAAGAATTTTCCTTCTTATGCATCTTAAAATACTGCCCAATTATAATTTTTAAAATACTAATTTAGATTGTTTTTCTTTAATTTCCCTGAATAATAGTTTACAGCAGTTCTCTGGGTAATGAAAATCACTTTGCACAGATAGTAGGTATGTACTTCAGTCATTTTGACTTCCCTATGAGCTAGTGAGTCACTGACCTTGAGGCTGGAATGGGGTTGGTTTGTACCATCGAAAACTTAGTCATCCCCATGACAACACAGAGCCTCTTGCCTTCTATTTCTCCCCACATCTTTGTTAAAGGAGGAAATCATTATTTACTTCAGATTTGTTATTCTGATATGTTTTTAAGGACACAAATTCCTAACCTCAGCCATTATGTGTATAAAACATTGCTATAGTAACAACAAAAATAGTGGCTATAAATACCTTATGAAATGAAAAATGATCTGCCAATTCTATAGCATTTTAGGATTCAAAAAAAATTTTCACCCTGGCTGGTGTGGCTCAGTAGATTGAGTCACACCAGTCCACTTTGGTTCAGCCTGAGAACCAAAGGGTTGCTGGTTCGATTCCCAGTCAGGGCACATGCCTGGGTTGCAGGCCAGGTCCCCAGTAGGTGGTGTGTGAGAGTCAACTACTCTTTGATGTTTTTCTCCCTCTCTTTTTCCCTCCCTTCCGCACTGCCTAAAAATAAATAAATAAAATCTTAAAAACAAATTTCCCTCAATTTTATGTCACAATTATCAAGATGTTGGAATTAAAGCATATATAACCATCTGACTAACTGATGATTCATATATATTTTGAAAAGGCAACCACTAAGTAACATTATATGTTTAATTTTTAAATAGTTTTACATATCAAAAAATTAATTCCTGTTCATTGTAGTGATGTTAGAAAATAATATAAAACTGGAGAAAAGAAGAACATTTAACAATCTGGTAATGTCCCTTCCCACAGTTAATTATGTTTTTCCAATACCTTTCCAGTAAGCATATATATATATGTGGGTGTAGGTGTATAGTGGTGGTGGGAGGTGGGGAGGGAGCAAGAGTGAGAGAGAAAGAAAAGACTCTCCCCCAGTACATTTTGCTTTGTATTCTGATTTTCCTTATTAACAATATATTATGAACATCTTTTCAAATACATTTACTGTGGTTGGTCATTTTTATTGGTGAAATATTGTGGGTTTTTTGTTGAATGAATCTACCATACTTAATTTAACCAGTCTCCTTTTGGGGGGACATTTTAATCTTTTCCCTTTTTCATCAATATCAAACATAAGGAAGATAGAGAGGAAGGTGAGCAAGGAAGGAAATTGCAGTAAACATCTTATGGCACATATCATTAATTATTTCCTTAGCATTATTTTGAAGTGGAATTGCTGGTTAAAAGGTATGTACTTTACAGATATTTTGTCAAAGAGCAATGGAGAACAGATGTAGTATTCTAATACAGGTTATTATCTTTTAAAATAATCCTTACCAATTAGATAGGCAAAGGTAGTGTTTTAATCTTTTTAATTTGCATTTTTTATTACTGACAAAAATGAAAAAATTTATCTTTTTGACTTTTATTCCTTCTTTTTTGATTTACCTGCAGAAGTCCTTTGCCCATTTTTCTATTTAGCTATTTATCTTTTTCTAACTGATTTGTAAGACTTCCTACTCCTTTGTCCCTTTTTCCATTCCAGTTTGGCAACTGCCCTTCAACTTTTTGAAGAAGATTTTTGTTTCCTTTCAATTTGGTACTTGCCATTTAATTTTTTGGTGATTTTTAAAATCACTTTTTAGTTTTTCATGCCTTTTAAAAGTCATCCTTTTACTTTACATTTCATGCAATATAATTCCTACTCCCAAGATTATGTGAGTATTTCTCTATATTTTCTTGTAGTAATTTTATGGATTCAGTTTTACATTAAACTCTTTACCCACCAGGCGTTTATTTTGGTACATGGTGTATTTTTTTCTTCAAACAATTGGCCAGTGACTCCTTCACTTACTTCATAATTTATACGTTTCCTTCCTGATCAGAAGTGCTATTTTTTAATCTATCTACTTGGGTCTAAATAATATTGAATTTTAATGTGAAAGTATAAAGCTGCCTGACAGATCTAACCATTTACTCTCTGAATCAGCAATTGTGTAGAAGATGAAGAGATGTCAGTTCAAATGCCAAAAGGATACTGAATGAATCTCAGGTTTTTTTAAATCAAAGTGTCATAAATATTTTATAACAATATCATTGCTAATAGATTGATGTTGTTAGATATTTTGATCTAAATTTTTATTGCTGTGTTTCTGGGCTGTAATGACATATTTTATGATCATATTTTGCTCAGTAAGTCAATAAGATATTGTTACTATATTATTATGATATATGCATGAATATATATTATTCAGAAGTTAAATATTATTTTTGAATTTGAAATCCTCAAAAAATGTCATATACATGACTTTTTATAATTAGCTATAGATCTTAAAGTTAAATGTATTGGTTCATGTTTTCCCAATACAGTCAACATAATTGCACCATAGAAATTGAAATAAACTTGTTATCCTTTAAATTGAAACTGCAAACACATAAAAAGGTATCTGTGTGAAAGATGGATTTATCTTTGTACTTATAGATGTCCCTTTAGCCTAAACAAAAAAAAAATCACAAAAACAGGTATTTCTGATCTAAACAATAACCTTACCTTTAGTTTTAGTAAAGATGACAAGTTTGATGATGAACACTGCAAACTGAGATTTACTTGGGAACAATTTTTGTCAATCACTTTGCCTGTAATTTAGCCACAATTAAGCCATTTGCCATGAGGTGCTGCTGAAAATACTATAATTGGTCAATTAATCCATGTACTATCTTATTATGGCAAATGCTGGTCTTACCCTGATAATTATTTAGGTCAAATTACAAAATAATGTGCATAAGTAAAATCTGCAGAATTTACATCACCCTAAGGATTGAAATATCTGTATGTTCATATATATACATATATACACATATATACATGTATATATTCACTTTTCCTTCTCTACATATATTCTAAGATAACTTTAGAGATATTTTGGTAGCTTGATAAATATTAAAAATAATACTTGCTATCAAAAACCAAGGTTAAATCCTGTGAACTTTACTGAAAAAAAAATTAAAAAGAGCTACCTAGTGATTACCAAGAAGACGGTCTGTGAATTGCTTGGGCAGAATCTCTAAAGCCTGTTCTTTTCCCAATGCTCATTTATAGTGAAGAAAACAAGGCAGGTAGCAGAGGAATACAGCCTGAAAAAAGGCTTATGTTTCCCCACTGAGAAACAAATTTGATTTTATCTCTTGGTTCATATTACAAAGTGTGGCTGTTCTCCAAATCAGCACATGTGGATAATTTTCTTTCAATGTTTCTTCCCTTTAATCACACTTTTTACAGTATATTGAGAGTATTTACCATGTTACCTCCACAGGGCTCACACAGATCATTTCTCATTTCACCTACTAACTTTCTGTTCTATGACAAGAATCTCTTGATCAATTCCCTCTCCTTTTCTTGTAAAATCCAGACTTACATGCTAGGCTTAGGAAAATTGGGTGATAATCTTTTTCTTGGAAATTTTTCTGATTTCACTCCTTGTCTTGCTCCCTTTACTTTTGATTGTTCCAGGCTTGTTTTCTTTCCTGATCTGTCCTCTTCTGTTCATAGTCGTTGTTTTGTTCCCATATATCAGTCTTGGTATTCATAACCTAAGGAGAGAGAGGCAGATGAATGGACCACACATTGCTATTTCTATTTTATGGCTCAGTGCAGGTCCTTTTTATTGAAAGACCCATGAGCACAGGAATTATGTCTATCTTATATGCCACCATACATACAGTGCCTACCACAGTATGCCCACTAAGTTTTTATTGAGTTAATAATAGCCAACATCTTAGCTCAAACGGTTCCTCCATTGTATAGATAAAAATGCTGAAACAGATAAATTAAGTAACTTGTTCTTGGTCACAAGGCTAGTTAAAGTTGAAGAGCCAAAACATGACTAAGTCTTGGATATGGAAGGCCCAGCGCCCACATTCCGTCTCCCCACTGAGAGTGCAGATGTCGTATAACATAACTCTGTACAGGGGTTGTTCCGGAGCCACACAGCACGGGTTTAAATCCTGTCACTTAAGATTTAATATAAATTTGTTGTGCTTCAGTTTCATCATCTGTAAAGTAGAGACCATTTATTGAACAAATATTGATTGGTTCCCAGTCATTTCAACCTCAGAGTTGTACTCCAATCTGCTACATTCCCTTTGTTTAGTTTGACACAGTTCACACTGATGATTCCCAAGGGCTTAGATCTCAAGAAACGAAGGCTTAAATCACCCTAGTAGGCAAAGTCTTCAGTCAGCTATGACATTAGCTGCAAGCAAAGAAAGTTGGAATAGGTAGTCATATTTATCAGTTACAGTCTCATTTACAATAGCAAGAATGAGTAGTCTGTGCATATATTGTGAGAATAGCTGAACACTGAAAAATTACCCTATTCTTTCCCTCTTAAAATAAAAATGACAACTGTTGTCATTTCCTTCCTTTCTTTCTGTAGCAACCATTGCCATCTCTGGCTCCAAAACCTATTTACAGAGTATACTGGTAGTAATTACACTCATCACTTAGTCCTTGGATTTCAAGACCATGAGGAACCACATCTAGATGAGACTGTTCCAAACCTGAAAGAAGAATGGTCATTTCATATCCCGAGGTCAGGACTAAGAGAACAATAACCCAGAGATGTTCCACCAGCTGGATATACATTTGAGCTTGGAAAGAGGGCAAGCGCAGGGGCTTTTGTACTAAAGGCTGGATCAAATAGGCTGGCAACATTTTTGTCATTGTACACACGAGGAAAGGCAACTAAATAATAAAACACAACAGATATCTCTTGGACCAGCCACATAGCTCACAGTGACACCTCCCTCCCCAGCATAGGGACAGAATAGTCACAAACATCCACACATGTAACTTGCAGGATAGTCATGACTGACATCGGAGTAGAAATCTCCCCCAAATGGCCAGACTTGCTCTCCTAGGAAACAGAAATTTTGAATCGAGATGCAAAGAGATGGGAGTTGTTTACAGTCCACCAAGAGGACAGTTTATGGATTCCTACTACTGAATTTCCTGGTTTAACAATTCCCAAAATTCTGTAAGATACCCCAATATCCTTCTGGAAAAGTCAGCTTAACTAGCTGGAGTTGCTATTTGCAATCACAAGAACCTTAACTACTACAGTTCCCTGAATAGTTTTCTCTCATGCAACTCTATCATATGTTCCTTTCCCGCCACCAAAATATCGTAGTTCACCAAGAATGCTGTTTTCTGTCTCACTGAGCTTTTGCTGTTCCCTGCACAAAATTCCCTTTCCCTTCTCCCTGAAAATTTACTCAAGGATTACCTCCCCTTGGAAATCCACTGGGGGAAAAGGTGTTACCTCCTCTACAACACTTAAGATGGTCACTCCATACTTACCTGTTTTGATTTGGAAGGTCCTCCACTGTACCCATAGGGCCTGTCATGCCAGAAGCATGCACTTAAAACAATATTGCATTGTAGTTCCTGGTTTTCTTGTTTGTCTTTCCCATTAGATGGCAAGCTCCTCAATAGAGAAGGAAGCTTCCCATTTAACTTTATATCTCTAGTTCCTTGTTACAGTGTCTGGCACATAGGAGACTCATTAAGTAAATGGGTAAATGAGTAAACATTGTCCACTTCATCACGAGAACATGCCCAGGCTGACCTGCTAGAAGAATCTGAGAGACCATGGGAAAGAACCAAGAACTTCTAGACCTGATACAAACAGCTGGTCCAGCCAAAAATAGGAGAGCCACTTACCCCACCCACACCTGACTCAGAAAACGAATGAGCCCAGCTAATTCCAAAAGAACTGCCCAACTGACAACACCTCTACTTGTAGGAAACAATAAATGGTTATTGTTTTAAATCCACTGACCTCTGGGGTGTCTTGTTAGCAGAATTTTTGTGGCAATAAATATCTGGTACAATATCTGTGATTTAGATTTCACCTGGAATAAGGAACTTGAGAACTTTACTAGCTAAATCACATGTGGCAAACACAAGGCCTGTGGGCTGAATCCAGCATTCCACCTGGTTTTATCTGCCCGGCACCTTGTTTCTACCCGGCGGCAGCTCCAAGCTCCTTGCCCCTAGTTAAGGAGTAGTTACATTTATAAAGTCCTAAAATTGCATTCGGCCCTTTGAAGGCAACCAAGAAGCTAATGTGGCCCCCTGGTGAAAATGAGTTTGACACCCCTGCACTAAATAGATTTAAAATCCAACAACGGCTTTAACAAGTCCGACTGTGAATTATTAAGAATAGAGATATTTATAAATCAGTCAACATAAAATTTCTCACTACTTGCTAATGTTTTAAGATTAATATAATGTCCTGGCTGGTGTGGCTCAGTGGATTGAGTGCTGGCCCACGAACTGAAAGGTCGCCAATTCAATTCCCGGCCAGGGCACATGTCTAGGTTGTGGGCCAGGTCCCCAATTGGGGGCACATGAGAGGCAATATATCTCTCGCACATTGATGTTTCTCTCCCTCTCTCTCCTTCCCCCTCTCTCTGAAAATAAATAATTCTTTTAAAGATTAGTATAAGACATTTCAAAACCTAGATTATTTAAAAATTTACAAAAATCTCTAAGGAAAAATTAGAAGTAAAATAACTAGGGAGAGGCCTCTGGCTAATATGGAGGCATAGGTAGGTACACTTCACAAAACCAAAGGAGGGATAACAGCAAATTTAAAAACAAAAACAGCCAGAACTGCCAGAAAATTGAACTGTATGGAAGTCTGACAACCAAGGAGTTAAAGAAGAAACATTCGTTCAGACCAGTAGGAGGGTAGGAGTCAGGCAGCCTGGGTGGAGAGGACGTGTGGTGAGGAGGCAGCTGGCGAACCAGGTGGTCCCACATTCACAGTGGATAAGAACCGGGAGGAACTATGGAAGAGCGAGGCAGACCAGACAACCCAGGGTTCCAGCACTGAAAAAAAAAAAGCCTCAGAATCTCTGGCTGTAAAAATCTGTGAGGGTTGTGGTAACAGATGAAACTCCCAAGTCTCTCAGGAGAGTCTGTTGGAGGGGTCCAAGGGGTCCTAGAATGTACACAAGCCCACCTACTCCGGAATCAGCACCAGGACAGCACCTGAAAGGGTGAAATTCACTTGTGGGAAGCAGGGGAAGTGACTGAAAGTGGGGCAAGAGTGGAGCAAGTACCATTTCTCTCTCTCTCTGACCTCTCTCCCACATACAGCACCACAACGCAGCAATGTGGGTTGCCCTGCCCTGACAAACACCTAAGTCTCCACTCATTACAACGTAACAGGTGTGCCAAGACAAAGAAATATGGCCCAAATGAAAGAAAGATCAAAACTCCAGAAAAAGAACTAAGCAATGAGGAGATAGCCAACCTATCAGATGCAGAGTTCAAAACACTGGTCATCAGGATGCTCACAGAAATGATTGAGTATGGACACAAAATAAAGGAAAAAGTGAAGGCTATGTAAAGTTAAATAAAGAAAAATATACAAGGAACCAACAGTGAGGGGAAGGAAACCGGGACTCAAACCAACAATTTGGAAAAGAAGGAAGAAATAAACATTCAATTGGAACAGAATGAAGAAACAAGAATTTTAAAAAATGAGGAGAGAATTAGGAACCTCCAGGACAACATTCAATGTTCCAACATGGGAATCATAGAGTTGCCAGGAGAAGAGGAAGAGCAAGAAGTTGAAAACTTACTGGAAAAAATAATGGAGAACTTCCCTGATTTGGTGAAGGAAATAGACATGCAAGTCCAGAAGGCTCAGAGTCTCCCCAACAAGTAGGGTCCAAGGAGGAATACAACAAAACACATCATAATTAAATTACTCAAGATTAAAGAAAAGGAGAGAATCTGAAAAGCTGCACGAGAAAAGGACACAGTTACATACAAAGGAGTTCCCATTAAGATTATTAGCTGATTTCACAGAAGGAATCTTGCAGGCAAGAAGGGGCTGGAAAGAAGTATTTAAAGTCATGAAAGGCAAGGACCTACATCCAAAATTACTCTTTCCAGCAAAACTATCATTTAGAATGGAAGGGCAGAAAAAGTGCTTCCCAGATAAGATCAAGTTAAAGCATCATCACCAAGCCCTTATTATATCACATGTTAAAGGGACTTATCTAAGAAAAATATCAAAACTATGAACAGTAAAATGACAACAAACTCACAACTATCAACAACTGAACCTAAAAAGAAAACAAACTAAGTAATTAGAACAGGAAGAGAATCATAGAAATGGAGATCACATGGAGGGTTAGCAGGAAGGGGAAAGGGGTATGGGGGAAAAGGTACAGGGAATAAGCAGCATAAATGGTAGGTACAAAATAGACAGGGGGAGGTTAAGAATAGTATAGGAAATGGAGAAGCCAAAGAACTAATATGTACAACCCATGGACATGAACTAAGGAGGGGGAAGAATGCTAGAGGAGGGGTACCAGGTGGAGAAGGATAAAGAGGAGAAAAAAATGGGAGAACTGTAATAGCATAATCAATAAAATATACTTTAAAATAAAATAATATTCCATCATAAAGATGGAAAATAACCAGTATTTTTCTCTTTTCCAACACACCTATGCTAATTACTTTACATGTTTCTATAAGCCTTTACCAAGATGTATATGTATTTTTACATAGTTCTAATAACAATGTTGTATTTTGCTTTAATATGAGAGGAAAAGTACCATATTCATACATAATAATTTTAATGCCTACTTAATAGTTCTTCAGTTACATTAAATAATTCTTCAGTCATACCATAATCATTTATTAGATTTTTATTTTTTCCTATTGTCAACAATGTGACAAAATACAGCTTCCTCCTCCTTCTTTAGTATTATTTCTTTAGGTATGAAGCCTAGGATGGTGTCTTTCTTATTTATTGTCATATCCCCAGTACCTAGCGAAGTATATGTTAGACACCCAATAAACATTTGTTGAATGAAAGCAAGTGTGTAAATGAGTAAGTGGGATTTACAAAAGTAGGCTTCCTAGTTTCATCTGCTTCAAATGCTTTTAAACTGAATTAGCATGGTTGAATTAATTAAAAATTGACATCATTTGAAAGAAAAATTGATTTGCATCAGATGTTAAATTTATTACCTATAGACCAGGGGATTTATCATTTACCTTAAAATTTCTGAGTTACTTGCAAAGTTGACCCGTGGAAATTTATCAGCTTTAACTAATAGAAGGAATTCCAAGGTTTTCATGAATTGCTTGTACTCATGTCACTGGAGAACACTATCTGTTCCCTACTTGGCTACACATGACACTTTTGGCTACTTTTCTCGAAGTCTGTCAGTTAGTGTATCAGTTTATATGACAAGTGAATTTGTACAACTCCTGTTTTTTCTCTGATCACTCCTTTGTCCTTGCCAGTGGTCATTTTCTAAAGATCCCCTTAGTCTTCTGCTCATCCCCTTTTGCAATCACTGTCTAATCACTCGCCTATAATCTTGTCTTCAACCTCTCCTGTGTGAAGCATGCCCAGATCTGTACATCTAATCCTGATGACTCCATCTGTGTTTTTTCAATCTCATCCACCTTCATTTCCTTAAACCCTTATTTTCTTATTTTTTTTTAAATCTACCCCACTCTGGCTTTTTTTCACTTGAACTACATGTGTCTTCTAGCCTATGCAATTCTTCCTTGGCCCCATTTCTTCAAACGGTCATCCCATTGCTCACTTTCCCTTCACCATCAAAGTTTTTGAAAGTATATTCTATGTTCCTTGGCTCCAGTTCTTCCACTATTGCTCTCTTAACTGTTTGCATGTTGACATCTGCTCTCTTCTACTGATCTTTTACCGCAGGAACAGTGTCTGATCCTCTTCTAACAGTGCCTCTCTGGTATCTCAGTCTTGCAATCCTCCCCTCAGTTCCCTCTCCACTTTTGCTTTCTTGGTTCCTATCAAGTACTCCTTGACATATTTTCTTCTTTTTGCTTTTTGTCTTTGGACTTCTTTTTCACTCTTTCATCCTTAAAGGTCCTCACCCACTTTCAGAGTTAATGAATATTCATTAAGTGCCTAAAATGTGCCTGGAACTGTGTTGGCCCTGGGGAGACAGGGAGGGATGAGCAAACCAGACACTCATTACCCCCTGCAGTACTTATTTCTCCTACCTCACTGCACATGCAGTTAGGAGCTAAATCCTATATGAGTAAATTCTTTTTCCAAATGTCTCTGATTTGTTCCCTCTATCTCATAATCACTGAACTCTCTTTGTTCAGGTCTTCCTCATTATCAACTTGCTTTTGCAATAGCCTAATAACTTGTGTCCTTGTCTTCTCCATTCTGGTCCATCTCACATGCTATCCCAGACTAATCTTTTTAAACATGTATGCCATCCTCCTCCAAAATGTTCACTGGCTCTTTCTACTGCCTACAGAAGAAACTCCAGACTCCTCAAAATGATCCTGGAGAGATCTGAAGCTTTAGATTCAGAAAGCTTGGATTGCTTTCCCAATCTACTGTTTACTCACTCTGTGACCTTGGATAGCCTTGCTGCATTTTGATTTTCCCATCTACAAAAAGAGATTGATGACTAGTAATAAAGACCAAATACATGTGAAAGTGCTTTTTAATTTTAAGGTGTTAAAATAAAAATATCATTTTTTAAAAACTTAGAGATAGTTACCATTGAAAATAGCCTAAGCTTCAGAGTTAAACAACAATCTAGTTTCAAATTCTAGCTTCAATACTATTATTTGTGAGACTTTGAACAAATTAGTAAATCTCTCTAAAAAGGGTTTCCTAGTTATCAAAAAACCTGTTTTGTATGGTTATTAAATGATAAAGTGAATATGAAAATTATTAGCAAGGCATGGAATACATAATAGGCACTGATTTATTGTTTTGAGCCTAATTTACTTTTCTTGCAGCTCATCCCACTATTCCTCTTTACAAATCCTATAGACAGAGCCACTCTAGGCTACTTGATTTTTCCATATCATACCACATTCTTTTGTGTTTCTTCAGCTGTATATCTTTTCCTTCTCTGTCAAAATTCTACTCAATCTTTAAGGCTCAGTTAAAATGTTGAGTCCTCCCTGAAGCCCTCTGTATCTCACAAGTGGCGTGTTAATCAATCCTTCCTCTTCACACTCTTAGATTATATGTTTATCACAGTATTTTATTTCCTTCTTTATATTGTGGTTCTCCCAACAGGTTGTAGGATCCTTAAAAACTAGAATAATGTTATAGTTACCTTTATTTCTTCCATAGCATACTTAGGACAGTAAACACTCAGGTGATGAATGAATGTAGGAATCAGATGCTATTTTCTCTACTGCCTATGTCACTTCCTGAAATGCCTACTGTTGTCTCAGACCCAAACATGCAAGAGCAAGCACCCTGCCTCTAAACTGCTCCCTTTCAGTTTTGCTGTTTATGGCACCACCCTAATCCCTAATCCGTTTCTGGGGATAAAAATCTTGTAATTGTACCTGACTCGTCTGTTTCCTTGACTATCTTGGATCCAAACCATAAATTTCCTTCAATTCTTTCTGTGAAAGTTTTTGAAATCACCTTTCTTTTAAATTCCTTTATTCCATTCCTATGAGCAATATTCATCAGTGCAATAATAATTTTTTTACAACAATCACTATTTATTTAGCATGTAAATTCTGGGCTAAATATTTTGTATATTTTATGTAATTTGAGCTTTAAAATACCCTGTAAAGTAGGTATTCTCATCCTTATTTTATAGAGTAAAAATCAAGCTCTAGCTTAAATACCCTGTCCAAGTTAGTTAAGTGGCAGGTTGGGCATCAAACCCAAATCTGAAGCCAAAACCTTTGAATGAGTTGGGCCCTTTCAAGTTGTGTAAAACAAAAAAAAACAAAAACAAAAAAAAGAGGGAATTTCAGAAGAGTATTATGAAGATACACAGGAATTAAATAAGCATAGGAAAATGTTTCATGGAGGTCTATTGTCCATTTCAAAAGCAAAATACAGCCCTGACTGGTGTGGCTCAGTGGATGAGCACCTGCCTGGGCTGTAGACCACATCTCCACTTGGGGGCACGACCGAGGTAATGGATCTATGTTTCTCTCCCTCCTTTCCCCTCTAAAAATAAATAACATCTTTAAAAAAAAAAAAAAAGCAGAATACACTAACACTCTAGTGATCCAGTTTTGTTGAGCTCTGACATTTTTTGAGGCCTAAAGCAAGCTTCTTACCTTTCTTCTATTGCTTGTTACAACTGACTTTTCTATTTCTTGGCTTCTGTTACTTCATGACTTCTGGTGCCTTGTGTATTTGGCTTTCTTACTTCTCTCTCACTACTGTAAACAAATGCTTTACTTCAATTAAGGTGATCTCCTCACTGTTCCCAGAACAATTTCTGTCTCTACAACTTTATTACTTTGAACACAAATTCACTCTTTCCAGCTGTCAAAAGCCTAAATTTCAAGGCACCTTCATTATTTCTTCCCAACAGTTCCAGTGGATTCTTTAGTGATTACTGTGTGAGAAATCCTCTTGCAGACTCAAGATGAACCCATAAAATGAGCAGGAAATAAACCCTTTGAGATTTGGGGGTTGTTCCTTCTTACAACATACTCTAGACTACTAACTGCTACACTGACTTTAGGAAAGTTATTTAGCTTCTCCCAGCTTCCCTTTTCTTATCTGTAAAATGGAGATTAAAACAGTATCTATTAAATAAGGTTACTGAGTACTAAATAATACTTAAGTGCTTAGCAGTGCTAATCATAAAAGCAGTACAAAATAGACGTTAGTTATTTTTAATTTGTATTACCACCAACTAGCAATTGGTGTGTTAGCAATGACAAATGAACATAAACACTAGTATTATTTGCTTTTTTAATGTTAAGTTTCAAATTACAAATGTTATAAGTTATTGTAAATTTAGCTGAAAACCTGGGCATTCCTATTTTGAAGAATATTTTAAGATTGTTTTATCAAAAAAATGGTTTGGTTAAACTTAGCAGCATTGAAGAAGCATCTGCACTTTAGAAATTAACCCACAAATGTACTGGAGAAAATGCTAAATGGAAAAAAAAAAGTGTCATTAACCAAGGTCTCCTTGAGGTACCACATCTAGGTCTTTCTTAAATAAAATCGTTTAAAGAAAACATTTCAAACAAGCCCGCTGCTGTTCAATGTATCAAGAATAATGTATCTGATTAACTAAAGTGCAAAACTGATTTAAATGGTGTCTGGCTTACTTTTTAGAAATTGCAACACCCCACTATTCATTGACTCTTCCTCCAAATGACAATGTGACAAGCTTAATTTTTAAAAAAATAATGCAATATTTGTGAAGAACTTGACACACGTTGATATTACTAGTCAACTCTGGACAGACGCAAAGCTCAGAGCTGCTTACTTTCACACTCCCCCCCCCCCGCCCCCTCTCCAGAAGCCAAAGTGCAAATATACCATGAATAATGGCTAAGTTGGAACCTCTTAATGTGGCTCATTGTACGCAACGCATTATTTCCACTGCACGGTATCGTTTCCAGTTTCCGGTTTTAGCCATTAGTAGTGACTTGGAGCGCCAAGTCACTTCTCTGCATGTTTTGTTTCCCATAAAATGAAACTGTGGAGGACAACTGAGATCTTTGATCCCAATAACGTCTACTAGGTACCATCAGAAGCTTTTCCTCCGGACTGTGCTGAACAGGCAGGCACGCGGGTTTCCGCTTTCCCCAGAGCCCAGGCCTCGCTTTTCTTCAATCCCAATTACGGCTCTTTGAGGAACAGCTAAAAGTTTCTTTTAACGAAATCCAGCGCTCCTTTGTCCCAGAACATCGCTGGGAGAGAGAGGGTCTCAAGGTCCCAGCTGTTGAGGCGAACGCCTACCCAAAGCACAGTCTGGTGCAGCAGCCCCAGAGCAAGCGCGTGCTCGAAGTTTTCCGGTACCGGGAGGCGCGCGCTCGCCCCGCTACGGTCTCCGTACAGGTTCAGGATTGCAGGGGCGTGCAGGACGCTGCAGGAAGAAGCGGAGGGCCGTGAAGTCCAGCGGTTCCCGCCGGCCCGGGTGGGGGAAGGGTAGCAGTCACGCCCGGAACTCGGTCGGTAAGGGAGGGGGGCCTGGGGGGGAGGTGAGGCTTCCGGTAGCGCAAAGGGTGTCGGGAGAGGCTTCCCCCAAACCTTCTTCCCTGGCCTCTTGAGGGTCCACAGTTGCCGCGGTTTCGGCTCCCACGATCTGCGTCCGGGCTAAACGGCTACGGCGGCCTCCAGTGCCGTTTCCCTTGTGCCCGACTCTGTCCCAATTCGTTCCCAGGCGCCCGCCCGGGTTCCAGCAGCGGCTGCGGCCATGTTGTGAGGCGGCGGCGTGGGTGTCGGAAGGATGGTTTGGCCGAAGCGGCGGCAACGGCTGCTGGCGGCGGCGGCAGCGGGGGCTCGGGCTCTGTAGAGCCAAGTCCTCTGTGTGTCCGACCGGTACCGCAGCAAGGCCCGTGTCCCTGGACGTTGCCTGTGCTCCGGCGCCGTTGGGGACCGGTTTGGCGACAGCGCCCTCCTCTCTGAGGATACACCGAGGTGGTTCCCCGGTGCTCAAATTCCTGACCACCTTGCTTTCCTTTCCGGACTTGGGCAGTGCTGTCCCCAGAACCCTTGGCCCCACGATTTTTTCCCAACCTTGCCCCAAATCTCACAAACGGGTGTTACCCGCCCTCTAGTGCCAACCCTCTACCCCTTCATTTTCTGCACCCTCTACTCGTAGTGCTTCTGGGATCACGCTGAGGGCGGCCTTTTGAAAAATCTTTGTGGAGTAGTGGACCAGAACTGGGGAGTTTTTAAAAGACGGAGCGCAAGAGGTAGGAAGATACGATGGCTTCCTCATCTGGCAACGATGATGATCTGACTATACCCAGAGCTGCTATCAATAAGATGATCAAAGAGACTCTTCCTAATGTCCGGGTGGCCAACGATGCCCGGGAGCTGGTGGTGAACTGCTGCACTGAATTCATTCATCTTATATCTTCTGAAGCCAATGAGATTTGCAACAAATCGGAAAAAAAGACCATCTCGCCAGAGCATGTCATACAAGGTAAGTGTTACGTGTGGGATTTTGTTTAAATGAGGGTCTGGAGACAGCTTTCTAGTCGCTTCACCCGTGCATGTCAAAGCCTTGATGCCTCTCCCGTGATCTGTACTGGGAAATGAAATAACCACGCGGGCATGGAGGCAGCGGATGCCTTAAAAAAATCCCTGTGTAGCATTCTCGTGGTACTTTTAATCCAGCGAGTAAGGATTGTAAGCATTTAGGTTAGCTAACATCCCCACAGGTAAAGTGTTAGTAGTCTTAATTTTCCTACAGCCAGGTAAGCCGAAGAAAAAAGAATTTTGCCTGGCTAAAGTGGAACCTAGACATGACAAATGAGAAATCGCTTGCCTACAGTGAAATGTAGACCATGACAACTGAGAAAAGAACCCAGAAGTGCTCCCTTGGAAAATTGAAATTCAGACAGGAACTTCCAGCAGGAGGGGGGACAGCACCCCTTCCTCACCCATCTTTTCACTAGTTTGGGGAAAAAGTTGAACTTTGTGAGCATACGAGTAAAAAAATCTTAACATGAATGTGTTCAACGTTATGAAGTTTATTGGTGTTGAAAAAAGAGTATATTTCTTGCTTTAAAAATGGTTTAATGGCCTTGGCCGGGTAGTTCAGTTGTTAGAGCACCCTCCTGCATACAGCAAGGTTGCAGGTTCATCCCGGGTCAGGGTACACACACAATACAAGAATCAACCAATGAATGTGTCAATAAGTGAGAAAAAAATAACTGATTACTCTATCTCTCTGTCTTTTTCTGTCTCAGTCTCTTTCTGTCTCTGCCCCCTCCCCTGTCCCTCCCTCCATCTCTCTTTCCCCTTCTTCTCTCTCTCTCAAATCAATATATTAAGAATGTTTTTAATAAAAATGGTTTAATGGTCCTAGTTACCAAAAGCACTCCAGTTCTATTCTGTAAAAAAAAGGGTGGATTTTCTTTTTCTCTTTTCTTTCTTTCTCTTTCTTACTTTCTTTTTCTTTTCCTTCAGTGTAGCTTCCCTTGTTCTATGGAGATACATTTTTAAAGCTTGTATTATCAGGTTGTAATAGATTTTTTTTCATGGAACATTTCCGTGTTCTTTCCTGCTGCCATTACCATTTAGATGTACACACTTAAGCTTTTATTGAACAGCACTTCTGAAAGTTTCAACAATTTCTCCTCTCTTAAATTAAAAAGGATTTAGTCCCGTAATAGGGACTTGAAGACCACATTCCGATGATTTGTTTTAGGGATGGGGAGACATGTCCTAGTCATAATGTTTTGGGAAGTGCTTATATATACTCTTTAAAAAAAAGTAGTTTTGTTCTGCTTGAGGTGATAACTTGTCTCTTGTAATAATCCAATTAAAATTTTATTAATTTCTTGATTCCTTTGAAGAAAAAGTCATGATTAATCTTTATCATTTTGGTAGACAAGTGGATGTCTGCCGATTTATTTTTATAATTTAACTTTTCAAAGGGTGAGTTTCCTGTTGTTCTGAAGTAGAGAACACATCTGCTCATATTCCCCATATCCAATATTTTACTGTCAATATTGACAAAAGGATTAAATGATTCACTTCTGTCCTTAATGATGTGTGGAAGGTAGATTTAAAATACACTCTGCTGTTTTCGTTTTAGTACGTAAGGAGAAAATAAATCCCTAGGAAAAAGCATATTTGATTTTTAAGCTACTATTTTTTTTTCTACTTTTTTGGTATGCTGAATACACTGACAAGTAAGATGAAGGCCAATTTGTCTATTTTTCCTCTTGTGTTTTTATTTTTACACTGTATGTGTGATTGTTGTCATCAGTCCTTCACAAGATTATTCAACACAGATAGCTATAATTTCCTTTTACAACTCATAAAAAAGAAAAAGGTTCTTCTATCAACATTGCCTTTCTAATGAAAATTGCAAAAAATTTCTAAAGGATCTGCTTAAACATTTGTTTATACCACAGAAGTGAGGATTGTTCCAAACCTAATAACATATTACAATCTGTCGTCTTGGGTAGAGTTTATTCTTTTCTAGGATATATTTAGATTTCTGATTGACATGATGGAATAAAAGTGCAGCTGTAGCAAGCAGTGTGTTAAATGCCTCAACTTGGAGTATGATAATTCAGTTTATGGGATAAGTCAGGAAGTTCCAAAGAAAAGTTTCCTTTGTGTACTGAGTATGATTTATTTTAAAAAATCATGTATTGACCTGATATAGTCTTATAAATTTATCTTTTCCTTCCCTGTAACACTGACATTGTTTAGTGGATAAGGTACCATTTTTGCCCCAAATCCTCCCCAATTAGGGGAATAGATTTTATATATTTATAATCTCATATTAGTTCCATATTAATAATTTTAAAGATTTTTTTGGTCTTGAGAGCTTACATTTTTTTAAAGAAATGTTAAACCCCTGGCTAGTGTGGCTTAGTAGATTGAGCGACAACCTGTGAACTGAAAGGTCACAAAAGGTCGCCAGTTTGGTTCCTAGTCAGGGCACATGCCTGGGTTGTGGCCAAGTGCCCAGTTAGGGGCATTGGAAAACAACCCATTCATGTATCTTTTGCCCATCAATTTTTCTCTCCCTCTGTTTCTCCCTCCCTTCCATTCTCTCTTAAAAAAAATAGAATCTTAAAAAAAAGAAATGTTTAATGTGTGTACATTTTAGGTGTTTAAAGTGGTTTTACAGACTAACTCTGGAAAGCAAAGTAAATCATGGTAGATATAACATTTTTTATACTTTCTGTCAGCACTGATTATTTGGGAATATAGGGTATATCCAAGTGGAATAATAATATTTTCATTTTAAAATAGTATGGGGATTTTTAAAAAAAATTTACTCATTTATTTTTAGAGAGGGGTGAAGGGAGGGAGAAAGAGAGAGACACACACATGGATGTGAGAGAAATATAGATCAGTTGCCTCTCAGACGCCCGCAATCCAGGCATGTGCACTGACTAGGAATCAACCCCCAGACCTTTCGCCTTGCAGGATGATAATGCCCAACCAACCGAGCCACACTGATCAGGGCTGAAGTTTGGAGATTTAACTAATAAGTTTAATGAGCTAGACTTCGCTTCAGGACATTTCACTTGTTCACTTGCTACTTTGCTTTATTTTGTCAGAGCAAATTAAGCATTTGAATCAGTTATGTAAAATTCAAGTTAAAGCTGAAGTTAATTTTATTGCCAGTAAATCTGTGAAATGCTATAACTATAAAGTTAAATTTAAATTATTTTTCTGAATGTCTTGCTTATTTCAAGTTTAAGAAAATAGACTTCATAGTGATGATCACAGATACACAAATAGCAGGAGTTCTAAAGTGTTTCATTTATTCCATTGCTGGTTTCAATGAACACATCTTCTTCAGTGAATTTTAACATGTTCTGTTACATTATGGAAGACACTGTTGACACTGAGAGTGAAGAGCTGCAAGTTCTGCAACTGGAAAGTGTTTCACCTTAGGCATATCTGTTAAATGTTTCCCCATTTGTGTATAAATAATACTTAATGGTTTCAGGTATAACTTGCAATTTACTGAGAGTCAGTCAGGGTTGAGAACCTTACAGGAAATATGTTACAATAATTAATAATTTTTTCAAAAGATTTTATTTGTTTACCTTTAGAGAAAGGGGAAGGGAGGGAGAGAGGGAGAGAAACATCAGTGTGCAAGACATATCAGTTGCCCCCAACCGGGAACCTGTCCCTCAACCCTGGCATGTGCCCCAACTGGGAATTGAACCCACAGTTGAACTAGCAACCCTTCCGTTCATAGGCCAGCAATCAATCCACTGAGACACACCAACCAGGGCATAAATAATAATTTTAAAAATTCATATAATGTTTCTGATTAAAATACAAAGGTGAAAGTCTGTTATATTGAACCTTAAAGTGTAAGCAAGAGTATTTTAAGTGGTATTATTTTCTTTCTGCACATTTAACTTCTTGGTACATTTTTTCACATTTATGAGAATAGTAACTGAAAGCAGTGAAAGTTTGAAAAAGTCTTTGAGAATTGCTTCTTCAGCGATTGAGTTGCTCCAAGCTATCTATGTTGAGTCCCTTTTTAAAAATTCTAGTTCCTCTCATACTGATATTTTTGTAAAATACAATAAAAATGGATCACTAGAAAAATAAGAAAAAAGGTATAAATAAATGTTTATATTTTCTGTTGTTACATTCAATAGACATAAAATTACTCTGTCAAATTGAAATATAAAGGTTTTTTTCCCCTTTATTGAGATATAAGTGACATATGACATTATGTAAGTTTAGGTTGTATAATGTAATGATTATATATTCTTAGGTTGTATAATGTGAAATGATTACCACAATAAGGCTAGTTAACACATCCATCACTCGTATAGTTGCAGTTTTGCTGTGAAGTTTCTTAAATGCTTACTTTGATTTTTCATACTTTACTTATCATGGAACATTACAAGCAATTCTGGCATAAGTCTATGGACTACTACTCTTTAAGTAGCTTTGCTATAGCCTAAACCACAGTCTGTTTTGGAAAGTGGATGTGAAGTAGTTTTGAAATCAGAGGATCTGAGTGATTGCAGAGTTGTGGTAATAATGAGAATGAGAATGAGACTGTATTCCTTAAATAATCATCCATACTGATATTTTTTCTTGAGAGACACATGTAATTTGCACCGTACAGTTTATCACATAATCAGTACTTTTTCAAGTTAGGATTTTACTATTTTTCTTAAAATTGATATATCTTTTGTTTTTCTTCCGTTACTCAACAATTGCTTTTGGATACTACTATGTACTTGGCACTGTGCTAGGTGCAGCTAAGTGTGTAAAGACGAGTGATGTTTGATTCCCGCTCTGCTGTCAGTCTCATTGTCCCAAATTTCCAGGAGTAGTGATACCATAGAGGACATGGTTCATAAGGGTCTTCAGAAACCTTGCCAGGCTAATAAGCCAAAAAGTCACTTTGGCCTACATCCTTTTAATGTTTGTTTTAAAGATTTTATTTATCTACTTTTGGAGCAAGGGGAAGGGAGGGGGAAAGAGAGGGAGAGAAACATCAATGTGTGACAGATACATCCATCTGTTGCCTCTTGCATACCTTCAATGGAGGTCTGGCCTTCAACCCAGGCATGTGTCCTGATTGGGAATTGAACCGGCGACCTTTGGGTTCATGGTCCAGTGCTCAATCCACTGAGCCACACCATCCAAGGCCCTTTTAACGTGTTTTGAGTGAACTATATCACATGCCTCCCTTTCCAACATACAAACCAACTAAAATTGAGAAATTACAGAATGTTATTTTATATTAATGAAAAATGCATTATGTTTTGAAGTATAAAGTTCATAAACCAAATTCTTGTTGTAACAAAACCTTTCCGGATTACATCATTTTTGCACAATAAGATAAGCCTGTATTACAATTATTATTGCTGGTGGAAGTTGTTTTTTTTTTTTTTCCTCTAAGTGGGTATCTTATTAACATCTCTCTTTCAAATTGAAAGGAGTGCTAAGTAATTTTTTCCCATAATATACCATGCATTTTTGTGGGTATAGTTTTAAGATAAATGGCAGAGGGTAGCAGCCAGAACCTCAGAGGAACAAGTAATGTGTGTGTTTTATCCACAACTTTTTTAAAAATTATTTTTCTTTTTTGGCTTTTACTCTGAGGTCCTTAGAGCCAGAGCCATGAACAATTCATAAAGTCCTTTTGTACATATTAGGAAAAAAGCACTCCTTCCTTAAAAACCTTGACTACCATCTGCCAAAAAAAGCACATATTTTAACATACAAATTATAACATTATATTGTAAACATACAAATCTATGATGTTTACAGTATGAATGGCCTTCCTTAGATATGGTACTGTTGTGCATTAAATAATCTGCATGAAAATAGACAGTGACCCTTCTTAAGAGCCATTTCCTTTATCCTTTAAGATTCTCCTTTGTGTGAAATGGGAATGATTACTATTACATGGTAAGAAATGATGTAATATATCTTCCTGTTTAGAAGTTACTATATCCAGTTATTAATATGTTAGCCAAAGTGTATTTAAAATTTGGATTAAAGTCAATTTAGTTTTTTAATTTAAATTTATGGCTGTTCCTGTTAAATCATTTTATTAAGAATATAGTACTTGTATATAGCAGGTCATTGCATAATATTAAATATTAACCTTGGATTTACTTGCATATTTTTTTTTGAAAGCAGTGCTCTTTAAATGTTTTTAAAGGTGAATTTTTAATTTTTATTAAAAAACATCCCTATGCTTAAAGGTAGTTTGGAATGAATTTTTAAAAATATTTAGTCTACCTAGCTGGCGTAGCTCAGTGGATTGAGGGCGGGCTGCGAACCAAAGCATCACAGGTTCGATTCCCAGTCAGGGTACATGCCTGGGTTGCAGGCCATGACCCCCAGCAACTGCACATTGATGTTTTTCTCTCTCTCGTTCTCCCTCCCTTCCCTCTCTAAAGATAAATAAATAAAATCTTCAAATAAATATTTAGTCTAGTAATTCATAACATTTCAAAGAGGTGTCTGTCCATTGTGTTCATTTGTTAATTTTGTAAATTTACTATTTTATATTTTAAATATACTTGTTCAACATGAATTTAGGTGTATAATGCATAACTATATGTGTACTTAGGTCCTGTATCCTTATGAGTAAGGGAAAAATAAATATGAATAATACATAGTCTAAGTCAGTTAAGCTACTCCTATGTACTAGACGCTGTATTAAATGCCTTAAATTAATTACTTATTGGTTCCTGTAACCCTAGAACTAATACAAATATAATAATGAATATTTTATTTTGTTCCTTCTGTGGGCTACTCTCTGTTATAAGCTCCTTATTTATATTAATTTATTCTTCACAGCAACCTGATCTGCTGAGATACAGGTACTGTTACTCTTATTTTACAGGCAAAGGTGAAGGAACTTTTGTAGGGTCACACAGCTAATATGAGGTAGAGCTAGGGGGTCAGTCCCTGGCAGCCTTCTGGCCTGTATGCTTAACAGTCACTCCACTGTTTCTGGGTGTAGGAAGATACTATGGAACAAGTGCTGTTCTCATTTTAGAGATGGAAAACTGAAACTTAGAGATGTTAAGCAACATAACCAAGGTCCTACAGTACAAATGTAGTGACAACAAAGCTTGAAATTCTACATCTATCTGATTTTAAAAAGGGGAAATTACTTCTGTCTAGGAGGATCAAGCAAGCTTAATTTGAAGATGGAATTTGATCTGGGCCTTGAACGCATTACTGTCAGCACGAATGTGGGAAACTGGTGCCTGCTGGAAAACACTGAGCAGGCAGATTTAGTAGAAGTATGCAGGGATTTAATAATGGCAGACATAAAGCTGGAAAGGTTGGTGGGCTAGATCCTGAGGGACTTTGGTAGAGGGCTAAGGAAGTAAGATTTTCTGTAGAATGTGACAGGAAATCCAAACCATTTGCTTGGTTTCTTTTGGTATTGTCTCCAGTCAATATTTTTGAAAATACACTATAATTCTTGTGCCTTTAAAAAAGAAAAAAAACCATTTGCATCTATCAATAACACTTAAAAAATAGTCAGTCTGTTAATTCAAGTTAAAAAATGCAGGCTTCCTGACCTTCACTTAATTTCCCACTATACCCCAACCTCCTTCAGGCCAAGAATTATACAGTGGTTAATCTGATATACAGAATCAGAATAATGCATTACTGAAGTTTTCTGAGTGGCAAGGTGGGGTCAGTGGGTTAACTTCATTAAAATTCAAATAATAGTACTCTACTTTGTGGCATCGGATTATTTCTAAAGAAGATTAAACTAGTTTAACATTTGAAGTGAAGTTGAAATCATTAATAATGTCTTTTTAAAAAAGACTTTATTTATTTATTTATTTTTAGAGAGAGAGGGAGGGAGAAAGAGAGGGAGAGAAACATCGATGTGCCAGAGACACATTGATAGGTTGCCTCTTGCCCACCCCCAACTGGGGACCTGACCTGCAACCCTAGCCTGCATGTACCCTTACTAGGAATTGAACCAACAACCTTTTGGTTCACAGGCTGGCACTGAGTCCACAGCAGCCACACCAGCCACACCAGCCAGGGCTTAATGTCTTAAAACTACAGCTTACAGTGGGAATGTGGGTTTGTAAAGGTATATTTGGTATTCTCCCTGAAGAACAAATCCCTGAAGTTAGAATTTAGGGCATCTTTACTGAGGGCAGTCTGGTTCATCATAATTGTTAAAAGATGACAAGAACTGATGAACTAAATTAAGTTCATTACTGTGTTTTTCACTATCTCTATTTCATCATTGGCTCAGAAAACAAAAATATGCCTTTAGGATCTTAGTTCAACATATGGGACTATACAATATAATTTTAAATACCATGAGCCAAAAGGAAATTTTATGCCTTGTTTTTCTCAATTATATAAAGCATTTAAAGAGTGAATTTTCTTGTAAAACTTTTTTTTTAAGTGTAAAAATTTTTTATTAACATGTCTTCGATCCTTACAATTGTCTTTTATCCCAGTTTTTCTGCCACAACACTTGAAATGTTTTAATAGTGTTTCCTGTTAAGTTTAATTTTTCAAGAGAAACTTGTTGGCTGAATATAAGTGCTGAATTTCCTAAGTTATTTCCACCAGTATTTCTTAACTTGGCAGTTTGAGTGTCTTTGCTAAAAATAGTTTCTGTTGGTATATTGGACAAAAGAACTTATCTATTCTTTCATCCTATCCTCTTGAAATTTAGAACATGTGTTACCAAAGCTTTCTTTTTCTAAGCCAAAAGGCACAATATGTGTTATTAACAAATATATTCCAAATATTTGCTTTCTTTCTGTCCTTTGAGAAAGTGATTAACTTAATGATGTTTGATTTACTATGAGTGGCATAGGAAAAGTGTTTTCTTACTAAAATTATGTGTTCTTACATTGGACTTTTTTTTCCTCACAGGAAGTGGAAGTTTTGGTTTTTTAAAAATTAGTCAGAAAGAAAGGGAAAATGAAGGAGGCTTGTGACTTGAAATGTTTCTTAAGTTTTAACTAATTTCCAATCTCATATTAAGAATGTTAATAAAATATTTTATCATAGCCATCCTGATAATTGCTATGCAACTAAAAAATAGGTAAAATTATTGGAAAACAACAATCTCCTCAAAAAAAAAATCCACAAAAACTTAAAATGCCATATGTAGAGGATAAGTTATGTTCTATCATTCTTTCATGTTTTCATATTTTCATTTCCCTAGCCCTAGAAAGTTTGGGCTTTGGCTCTTATATTAGTGAAGTAAAAGAAGTTTTACAAGAATGCAAGACTGTAGCATTAAAAAGAAGAAAGGCCAGTTCTCGTTTGGAAAACCTTGGCATCCCTGAAGAAGAGTTATTGAGGCAGCAACAGGAATTATTTGCAAAAGTAAGTGATGCATTTTAAATTATTTTCATCTGAATCTTACCCTGTTTGCTAATAGAAATAAGACTGGTTTCTTAAATGATTTCCTAAATCAACATACCCCAGAAGATTTTTTTTCTGTGGCTGATTATTTCATCACAGAGTCTGATGTTTAGACATGGCCAGTTTGACTCTATTAGGACAGTTATTTACTTCATGTAAAAGTAAACATTTATAGCAATTTGTTTTCTAAGGAGAATGACTGTAAATAACTACTGAGATTTTACTTTGATTTTTTTTCCAGGCAGAATGATTATTTACAAGAATGAAAAGTAAACCTAAATATTCTTAAGATTCAAAATGATGGGTTGGTAATAGTATAGGAAATGGAGAAGCCTAAGAACTCACATGTATGACATGTGAACTAAGGGGGGGGATGCTGTTGGGAGGTGAGGTGCAAGGCAGAGGGGAATAAGAGGGGGGGAATGGGACAACTGTAATAGCGTAATCAGTAAAATATACTTTAAAAAAGAAAATGATGGGTTGGTGAGAAAATACTCTGTCAAAATTTATGATGAATGGCATAAAAGGAAAATCTGATTACCATCTACTTTACATCTACCATGTACTTAAATTAGGTCTTTAATACACCTTTAAAACACTCTAATCTTAAAATATTTTTGAAGGGCCAATGAAGCAGAGAAAGGGAGAAAACTTTTTCTTACTTTATATAGTTCTGTCAAGGATTAGTATCAAAGTACTGATATTCCCCCTATTTAAAAAAAAAAAAAACCAAGGAAGAAAGTGAGGCTGTTTTTACCCCCTACTAAGATCTGGCCTCTCATTTGAAATTGAAAGACAGTTTTGGGTTGAATAGAAATAAGATTTCCTACCAATTACTGTAAGTTACTATTAGAACTGGGAAGTGTCATTTTAGGTAATCTATTCTAGATTAGCACCATAATAAGAAAATAAAAGCTTATTAACATTTATTGAGTTCTAACCATGTGTTAATTATGTTACCAAGTAATTTAATTATTGTTTTATTTAATCCTCACAACAAGTTATGAGATAACCTATGAATGTACTCGGTAAAGTCTCTAAGTCTGGGGCAGTTGTGAACACATGCAAACAGTGTTATAACCCATATGAATATAAAGTAGCAAAGAAGGAGCAATGATTTTTTTTAAACCCTTAATGACTATCATTTATTGATTCTTTACTATTGCAAATCACTTAGAGGGTACTAAATTAAATATTTGATGAAAGGAAAAAGATGCTCTGTTAGATACTTAACATATTTGCGGAGGGTTGTTTGTTTGTTTTTTAATCCTCACCCAAAGATATGTTTGTTTATTTATTTATTTTGTTTTTCAGAGAGAGAGAAAGGTGGCGGGAAGAGGGGCATGGGGGAAGGAAAGAGACAGACAGACAGACAGACAGACATCAATTGGTTGCCTCCTGTATGTGCCCCTACTGGGGATTGAACCTGCAACCTTTTGGTGTACTCAGGACAACACTCCAACTGAGCCACCTGGTCAGGGCACTTTGTAGAGTTTTTGTGTATAATATAAATTTTATTATATCTATTTATACATTAAGAAATAGACTCAGAGATGGAGCAACTTGCATGAGATTATTCATTCATTTGTTCTACAGGTATTTATACTAAAGTCCTCACCATTTACCAGACATAGTGCTAAGTGCGAGGCTTACAGCATCATACAAAAGAGACATAGTTCCTGCCATTACGGAGCTTAGTTTACTAAGAAGGATTGAGTTAAACAAATAAAATGGGGAAGTTCATATAGTTAGGAAGTGTTAAAGTCTTGATTCAAACTCATATTTTCTGACTCCAAAACCTGTGCTCTTTCTACAATACCATGCTAATTCTCTAGCTACCATTTTATCTACTTAAATTTATTTTGGAATTTTTAAGTGGATCATGCTTTATCCTTTCCAGGGCAAAAAGATGAATGAAAGAAATAATTGACTGCCTGACAAATTTATCTTCACTCTCTCTCCTTGTCATCTGCTTTTTAGTTCCCCCTCCTTGTGACTCTTTTTTCTTGCCCTGATCTGTGTGTGAAGATTCTTTGGTCTAGTGAAGAAAATTAGCAGAGGTAAAATTTTAGCAGCTGCCTAGTACTTCTTCCCTAGAGCACAAAGTACTCAGGTCCTAAATCTGAAAGGAACTAACAAGTAAATACAGCATCTTTTCATCACTTTTATTTCATGTCTTCTTTTAGACTTTATTTTAAATACATAATAGTAGCCTTATTTGAGGCTGTCTTTTTACTGCTAGCAGCAATTATTTGGAAAGGGGGAAACATTAAAAATCAAGATAGAAGTTAACTATAAATTATAAATGAGGCATTTTAGTATGTGAAAGTGAGAATCTTAAAAGAATAAAAACTTCCAACAAAAGACATGAATTAGGAAGTATATGCCTACTTACCTCTCGCACTCACGTTTCAGAAAGAAAATACTTGGGATGGACTGGGTAAGAGGCAGGAGGGGAAAAGGAAATTGGAATTAATATTATTGAAAACTTTAATTTGTGGAAATGAATATAAATAAAATTTATCAGTCAAGAATGATTTTGAGGGCATAGGAATGCTTTCATGTTTGGAGAGAAAAGTATGGAAGATGATATGGGGCCATGGTACCTAAAAGTCAGTTAAATTTTAAATATAACCAGCACATGCCTTTGCAGATCATTGAATAAACTGTGAGATTATGCACCTTTGAAATAAAACCTATGGAGAGACTTGGTATTATTTGAGTTTTTTCTGTGCTATGAAATTATATGTATTTAAAATTGATTAGGCCACAAAATAGGTATTCTTAAGTTGATAAATTCGTATATTTATTTTGCCCTACAATTTTCTTATGAACTCTTAAAACATTTTTTGTGAGGCACTCTTAGTCTATTTTGAACTCTGGGCATTCCTGTCATAAAAGTAAATATGCCTGTGTGTTAGAATAACTATTTTCCATATTTCTTCATAAAAGTGGGAAAAGTAGTTATTAGAGACAATGTATGGTTTGTAATTTCCTGAACAAAAGAAGTTTTTCTGGGGGAGGTATAATACAGGTACACTAACAACTGTAATATGAGGCTGACTGCTTTCATGAGGAAGATATAAAAAGAACCCAAGTACAGAGACGTCATACTCAATTTTGATGGTTATGGGTGTGTGCCAGTTACTAAGCCATTGTCTCAGCCTGAAACCCACCTTTCTAAGCTCCAGTTTGTGACAAGGCCCAGTACTCCCCGAACCGCATTTCCTCCTTTCTAGCTTACTACTGTTAGACTCTACTGCCAGAAGTGGAGCTCTGAGGGAGATTGCCAGGCTGGAGGAGGAAGGCAGCACTTGGACTTCTTTCTTTTACTTCCTGTTAATTTTGAGTTCCTTTGAGCAAGCTAGCAATCCTGGCTGCATCAGTTTTTTTCCTGCAGCAGGAATTGAATATAGTTTACAGATCCTCTAATACATACAGAACCAGCCTGAACATTCATCTCCTTCTTCAAGGATGTGACTCTCAAACTTTGGGGCTCTCCTCCAAGCTCAGAAATTCTAGTACCAGTCAATCTATGCCCCTTTTTCAGAGGTCTGGATTTTAGTTCCATGGGTTGCTCCTCTAAGCTCCTCAATTTTAAGAATTCCAGGCTTTTCCCTTGTCCCTCTGTTTGAGGGTTGGTGGCTGCTCTCTCTAGTTGCCACCTGCATGATACTTTTGTGTTTTTTTTCTTGCCTTTTCACTTACCTAGTTAACAACTTTATACTTGGTTAACAAATATTATATTTTTCTGTTTTCCTACCTAGTGTTACTTCTATCTCCTGATTAGACTACCCAAATATTACTGGGAGGAATCAGGAAAAAACTTAATGGAAAAATAATATTTTGGTTTAATCTGAAGAAAGAGTGGAATTTTAGTAAGTGAAAATCAGGAAATTTCAAATAGAATGAATATCAGCATGAGTAAAGGTAGCAAAAATGTGAGGGATGGTGTATGTTTGGGAAACATTTTATGTTCTAGATTTTTTTTTTTAAGTACAAGGTAGATGGTACAAAAAAAAAGATTAGAGCAATAGATTAGAGTAGGCAGTAATTTGGAGTACCTTGAACTACAGGCTGAGAAATTTAGACTTAAATGGTAACAATTACCAGTAAGTGATTTTTAAAAGTACCATATTTTTCAGACCATAAGACACACCTAGGTTTTATTTATTTATTTTGTTTTCCCTTGTTAAATATTTTATTTATTTATTTTTCGAAAGAGGGGAATGGAAGGAGAAAGGGAGAGAAACATCAATGTGTGGTTGCCTCTCCCATGCCCGCCACTGGGGGCCTGTCCTGGCCTGCAACCCAGACATGTGCCCTGACTGGAAATCTAACTGGTGATCCCTTGGTTTTCAGGCTGGTGCTCAATCCACTGAGCCACACCAGCCAGGGCAAGATGTACCTAGGTTTTAGAGGAGGAAAATAGGAAAAAAATTTTTGAAGCAAAAAATGGGGTAAACTATTTAGTAACATAAATGACATAATATTTCACCAATATAAGTGTAAACAGAACTCAACAGCAGTATTAACAACCATTATTTCTCCCAAATTTGGGGGGGGGGTGCATCTTATAGTCTGAAAAATATGGTATAATAATGATCTGATTAAAATTCTCCTCTAAGAATATTTGGATAATAAATTCATAACAGATTATTAAGAAAAGTTAGGCGTGTAGAGCTTACACTGTGCATCATGTTTTTTTCACGAATCATTCACTCAGAAAATACTGGGGGCCTATGTATTGGGAATACAGTAATGAATATGAAAACAGTTTCTGTTCTCAAGTCTAGTGGAGAAAAAAGATATATACTTAGATAATTAGAGAACAAACTATGGAAATGCATAGAGAATTATGGCATATGGGAAATAGAGCAAGAAAGCCTGATTTGTGTTTTAATTGATGACTAGGAATCAGTCATGCATAAAGGAGGGTATGATCCCCGCTTAAGGAACAATTGTGATGAAAGTCAGAGAGGGAGAAACAGCATTGTTTTGATAGCTTTTAATGGGAAATTATATGATCTTTTCAAGAACATTTATTTTTTCCCTTTTTCCCTTGATGGGGTTTTTCTGCTAATGGATGAAAATAAATTGGGAAGAGTCTCATCTGTTGTTGACAGTGCATGTAAATTGAGAAGGAATATTATCTGTTGCCACAATGCATGTACTGCGTATGTATGCATCTTGGTTTCTAAATTCCTGTGGCTTTTATAGAGCAGGGGTATCAAACTCATTTTCATGGAGGGCCACATCAGCCTCATGGTTGCCTTCAAAGGGCTGAATTGTAATCTCAACTCCCTAACAGTTAAGGAGTAGTTACATTTATACAGTCCTAAAATTATTTTGGCCCTTTGAAGGCAACTGTGAGGCTGATGTGGCCCCCCATAAAAATGAGTTTGATACCCCTGTTATAGAGGATAGATATATCAAATGAATGGATTTTAACTATCCCATTTAAATTCAGTACTTGGTCAGTATCTTTTCACTAATGTGTATATAGGAATGTGTGTGAGAGTTGTGCACATATGTGTATTTAGAAAGGAAGGAGACAGAAAAAGAGAAATGTATGTTTACAGAGATGTATATATCACTAGCTGTGATAGAAACTCAAAAGAAATATCAAGATAGCTATTGCATTTATGTATTGTATTTTTCCCTAAGAGTTAGGGGTACTGTACTAGAGAGCTTCAAAACTATCAAAACAATTGTGGATTGAAAAGTGTTTACATCAAAATCATAAGTTGAGAGGACAGAAGAATCAAGTGAAACAAAAGGGAGAGAGAAACACAGGTAAAGGAACCAAAGAGAGAATATTGTGATTTTTCTGTCAACTTTTTCAGCCTCTCTAGTTAAACCAAAGGTCATAAATTATGTGACATAAAGGGTGACTATCTATAAGAGAATCAGCCTCATAGAGTTCCTTCTGTTCTTCAGATGTACAGCATTATACAGGATAGGGCAAAAGTAGGTTTATAGTTCATATGGAAAATAATATCATAATTAATAAATACTACAATAATAAACTCAGTTTTATATACTCACAACTGTACACCTTTTGGGCTACCCTGTATAAGTAGTTGGGAAATATCCAGATTTGATGACTCAGTCTGCAATTGACTTAATCTGCATTTAAGCAAAGTGTGTATGTTGTAGGCTTTTAAAAAATTATTTGTTTTTATGTTTTTGGTGTTTAGGCCAGACAGCAACAAGCAGAACTGGCCCAGCAAGAATGGCTTCAAATGCAGCTGGCTGCCCAACAAGCACAGCTTGCTGCTGCCTCAGCCAGTGCATCTAACCAGGCAGGATCTTCTCAGGATGAAGAAGATGATGATGATATCTGAAATTCACCAGCTGAGGTTTTGTTTCCTCTATAAATGTTTCTCTCTGCACAAGAAAACAGTGAAAGAAATGCTTATCTGTAATTTTGTATGCATCTTGGTGGACTCACCACTGGTATTCTAGGGATGTCTGCTGTTAACTTTCATCTATTGTGTGCTATTCATGTAAAAATTGTCTCTTTGAGCTGTTGAAAATTTAGGCTCAGTATAATATCAATTTTGAATTTTTAATGGTGTTTATGAGATTTTAGATAGCAGTGAGTCCTTTATTGATCAGTAAACAGTGTTAAAGGAAACTTCAAGTTTATAAAAATATAGTGAAATTTATACAGAAATTCTAAATCTACATTTTTCATTTCCTCTGCCCTTTTAACTAAACTAAAAATTGGGAATTTTAAATTATTGGGTTGGGGGTACTGTGCAATGCAATAGACATTAGATCAGATTGGTGAAAAAAAAACAAAGACTTCAATTCTATAATAGCTGACTTTTTTGTCTTTTAAAATGAGTATATCTACAGGCTATATATATACAGCAACACATATACACTCAAATAAATATACTTGTTTGAAAAAATTTCAAAACGACATTCAGAAACAGGAAGGGGGGTATATTCTATACTAGTTGTATAAATTTGGTGGGTTATATTTTCAATTTTGTTTTATGTAGAGATAAAAACTACTGTTTTATTATGGCTTAATTCATCTTGAGCTAAACTATCACATTTCAAAGACTGTCCAGTTTTGAGGACTGTCATGATTCTTACTATTTCACTCCAATAATTGTCAATAGTATTACTTGCTTAGTCTATTCATGTTTATTGGAACTTGTGAAACAATTGCCTAGGTTCCATCAGTTTAACTGAGGTTAATGAATATTCAAACCTTTGCTGGGGGAAAGGAATGGAAGTTAATGAGCATGCTTGCTATAAAAGAGGGATTTTTTTTTTGTAATTTAACTTATAGTTTACTTATTATTTGTTTTTAGCATTACTCTTACATTTTCTTGACTAGATGTCCTGCAGTGTCCAATGCTTCCTTTGAAATGGCATCATTGTCTCCATCATAGAGCAATAGCTTTAAAAAAATGATTTGTTTTGTTTTAAAAGGCATGTAATAACTAATCAGTCCTATATGAAACATAAAAAGTAGTTTCAGCCTGCTCATTAAAAGGGAGGAAGCTTTAATTTGGTTCTAAGAATGTATGGTAATGATTTTTATAGGAATCCAATGTGTTGAAGAAATGGCATCTTGTTTGTATTTTGGAAACAAAATGAAAAAGCCACTTAAGATAGTATGATGTAATCTCAATTTCTTTGTCAGTTGCCAAATCATTTAAATTTCTATATTCACCAAGCCCAAGGATAGTTTGTGGCTGCCAGGATTCTAATTTTAATTGGAGAGCTAAGTAAGTAAAGTTTACAAGTATTAGATTTCTTAACAATCATATTTTGCAGTTTTAGAAAAAGTGAAATACTGTTATACATTCATTAAATACTGTTTCCTCATGCCAGAAAAAGGTTAATTTTGCTGAATGTTTTTAAGTTGAAGTTAATATTCTATCTATGAAGTGTTTTGGACAAGATAGAAGGGATCTTTTTTTTTTTTTGAAGTTTAAGCACCAAAGGTAGTCTAGTCTGAGAAACAATAAGTTAATGAGTGTTGGCTTTTCTAATTTGTACTGTAACATCCTTATACTTGCTATTTTAAGTATATCTGTTTCTTAAGTAAACAACCTAGATATTTTTCCATACCTTTTTTTTTTCTGATGCAGAGTTCAGGTTAATTAATATTTTACTGCATCTGATAATGTATTATATGTTTGAAGCCTAGTGACTTTGCATTTGGACATTCTTGTGATTTCATATGCTGTATTCTTCAAGCAATAAAATTCTGATGTGTTTTATACATTGTTTTTATATTTAATGATCTATATAGATTAATGGCAGGTTTCTGTTACTAACATTTTTGCTAGTTTCAGGAATCTTAGGCCCAAAAGACATTTTGATCATTTGCTATGTAGTACCTGACTTTCTCCTTTGTTTACTGTTATTTTAGAAAATGGGGTTTTACTTGTATTTTGGTAATTTACAGTCCTAGGGTCCAGGTATAACAAAGCTAATTAAGCAGTGTTTTACTGTTAGCTTGTTTTTTTTAGCATTTAAAGTCACTAACTTGTCTGTTGATATTTTTTAATCATTTAGAGAGTGAAATAGATCTTTAGCATTCTTGAGAAATAAAGTTATTTTTCAGTGAGTGTTTTTCCCACCTTTTTAAATATATATCTGTCTTTTTTAGCAGACTGTCAGATTGTTAAATGTTGAAAAGGCACCAATTCTAAAACTGCATATACCATACACATAGAAGAATACACATATAGGGGTTTTCACAAATTTAGCATACTCACATTGCCAGCCCTCAGACCAACATGCAGAGCATTATGAGCATCCCAGAAGCCTTCCTTTTGCCCATCTTAACATTGTTGTCTTTTTCCTCCCCAGAAGTGACTATATTCAGACTAATAAAACCATGGATTAGATTTATCTATCTTTTTTAAAAAGATTTTATTTATTTTCATTTTTAGAGAGGGAAGGGAGGGAGAAAGAGAGAGAGAGAGAAACATCAATGTGCGGTTGCTGGGGTCATGGCCTGCAACCCAGGCATGTACCCTGACTGGGAATCGAACTTGCGACACTTTGGTTCGCAGCCCGAGCTCAATCCACTGAGCTACGCCAGCAAGGGCTGATTTGTCTATCTTTTAATTTATGTAGATGCAATCATACATAATATACTACTTTTTTTGCCTATTGTGTTTGTGAGTGTACTGATTTTCTGATGCCACTGTAACAGACTACCACAAACTTAATAACTTAAAACAACACTGATTTATTTTCTTGCAGCCCTGGAGTTCAAAAGTCCAAGTCAGTTTCTTTAGACCAAAGTCAACATATAAGCACAGTTGATTCCTGAATCTGGAGGTTGTGAGTGGAAAATCTGTTTTCTTGCCTTTTTTCAGCTTCCAGTGACTGCGTGTTTTCTTAGCTTGTGGCCCCTTCTTCCCTGTTCAAAGCCTCTGCTTTCATCATCACATCATCTTCTCTTCTTCTATAGTCAAATCTTCCTCTGACTCTACATTTAGGGCCCCCCTCACTAATCCGGTATAATCTCCCCATTTCAAGATCCTTAATTTAAATCCCATCTGCAAAGTATTCTTTTTCATATAAGGTAACATCCACAGGTTCCAGGAATTAGGTTGTGGGTATATTTAGAGGGCATTATTCAACTTCCAGAGATTCATTTATATTGTTGCATATATTTGCAATTCATTCATTCTAATTACTGAATAGTATTCTATTAATCTAAGTGTTTTTTTATGTCCAAAGTTTATTCATTCTACCATTGATGGGCACTTGAAAAATTTCTGGTTCTGAACTATTATGAATAATGCTGTGAATAACATTTTTTTATAAGTCTTTCAGTGAGTGTATATATGCATTTCTGTTGATATGTACTGGGAGCGGAATTACTGGGTTCTGGGATGTGCATGTATTCAGTTTTAGTATCTACTTGACAGTTTTCCAAAATGTTTGTAAGAAGGCACCATTTTAATGTTTACCATAATAATGAATTTCTAATGGTCTCGTGGCCTTAAGAATATTGCATTATACCAAATGTGTTATACTTGCTACAGTAGGTTTGTTCTTATTATCATACAAGCGGAAAATAAAAGTGAAAGTATTTGTTCTTGTTAGTGATATTGTAGTATTATGTACATATTAGGTTATTGCTCCTTAGAAGAAGTGCAAGTTTTAGATAATCATAAATAGTATGTTGAGTTTATAAGTAGTATGCTTAGTTGTGGAAAATTCATGATGTAAAGTTTTAAGTGAATTAAAATGTTTTTGTTAAAACCTTATGTAGATACAAAGATAAATCCGAGTATCCAAAATGGCCTCCTTGAAGAATTCTCCAATTCAGATAGCATGGCATTGCCTTCTACTGGCTTCACATGGATTTTTTTGGTCTGTTTGTTTTCTTCTCTGTCCTCAACAGCTCGGCCCCCTCAGTGCGTCACCTTGCCCCATGGCATAGAGTATCATGAGTAGGATTGGCCAGGGTGAAGAGGATAGCAGCATAAATAGCCTCCTCTTGCCTAACCCCACTTGTTATCAAAGCATCAACACTGAGCCTCACCCTATTTCCTCAAAATAAAAGACCTATCCTTAGCACGTGTGCTTAGATTTGCCTTTTCCTATAAAAGATTTAAATAGAAAAGAAAAAATAATGAAGCAAGGGCAATAATTATGATCAGTTTGTACCAGAAATTAGGTAACTTAGTAAAACCTTATAACAGGATTTCTCAACCTGAGCATTATTGGCACTTTGGGCCAGTTAACTTGTTGTTCTAAGAGGCTATCCTGTGCCTTAAGTGAACTTTAGCAGTACCCTGGTTTATACCAACTCCATGCCAGTAGCACATCCTACCCACCTTGTGACAACCCTCAAAATGTCTCCAGGCATTGCCAAATGTCCCCTGAGGGGAAAAATTGCTCCCTATTGAGAACTTCTGCCTGAGAACATCTAAGTTTTTCTCTTAGGATAGGGTATTCGGGGAAAGACTGAATTGAACCTCTTTTGGAATGAACATGTGGTATCAGTGGAAAAATACAAAAAGAATCAGAGTGATTTGAAGAGAACAGGCCCAGGATTAAACTGTATTTTCCACAAAGTCAAATCTTAAAAGTGGCTCTCGACTTTACATCTGCCAATCCCTTCACCCTATAACACCCCAGTCCCGTACTTAAATGTCTCACTACTTTTCTTTCACCAGAGATCCTAGCCACACCCAGTTGAAGATGGATCAGGTATACTGTGTCATTTCTATGTACATCTCTCAACAAGCATGCTATTTTTTAAAAATTGTTTTTATTGTGGTTTAATATAAAATTTATCACTTACCATTTTCAAGTGTTCTCTTCAATGGTACTAGTTACATTGATTTTGTGCAGCCATCACCAGTTTCCCCAGAACTTTCTCACCATCCCAAGCAGAAACATTGTGCCCATTAAACAACTCCCCATTCTCCTCTCTTTAATCCCAGCTCCTGGTAACCACTATTCTACTGTCTGTCTCTATGAGTTACACTATTCTAGGTACCTCATATAAATGGAATCATGCAGTATGTGTCCTTTTGCATCTGGCTTCTTGAAAAAAGTGCTTTCAGAGTTCAACCATGATGTAGCATCTATCAGAACTTCATTCCTTTTTATACTTAGTTTGTTTTTTAGATTTAATTGTTGATAGATGTGCATTTACTACCATTTTATTATTCATAGTTTTTATCTTATTTTTCTTAAATAAGCCCCTTTAACATTTCATATAATAAAATTTTGGTGATGATGAACTCCTTTAGTTTGTGAAGCTCTTTATCTGTGCTTCCATTCTACTCACTTTTGCTGAGTAGAGCAGTCTTGGCTCTAGGTCCCTGCTTTACATGACTTTCAATATTTCTTTCCACTCCCTTCTAGCCTGCAAAATTTTTTTTGAGAATCAGCTAACAGTCTTACAGGAACTCTCTTGTTGGTAACTACCTTCTTTTTTCTTGCTGTTTTTAAGATTGTCTCTTTATCTTTAACCTTTGGTATTTTAATTATGATGTGTCTTAGAGTGGGCCTCTTTGTATCTGTCTTGTTTGGGGCTCTCTGTGCCTCCTGGACTTGCATGTCTATTTCCTTCACCAAATTAGGGGAGGTTTTTTTTGTTTTGTTTTGTTTTTTCATTATTTTTTCAAACAGATTTCCAGTTTCTTGGTCTTTCTCTTCTCCTTCTGGCACCCCTATGAGGCAAATGTTGGAGTGCTGGAAGTTGTCCCAGAGGCTGCTTACACTATGCTACCCTCATTCTTTTGGATTCTTTTTTCATCTTGTTCTGATCGGTGATGTTTTCCTTTCTTATGTTCCAAATCATTGATTTGATTCTTGGCTTCATCACTTTACTGTTTGTTTGTTTGTTTGTTTAATTGTTTGTAGATCCATTGTTTCTTTTTTCAAATTTTAATTATTGTTCAAGTACACTTTACTGTTGTTTCCCTGTAAATTGTTCTTTATTTCAATTAGTGAATCCTACATTTCTGACTGGATCTCTTTTATACTGTCGAGGTCCTCACTAAGTTCCTTGAGCATCCTTATAACCAGTGTTTTGAGCTCTGCATCTGCTAGATTGCTTGTCTACATATTCATTAGTTATTTTTCTGGAATTTTGATCTGGGTTTTTTTTTTTTTTTTTTTTGGGCCATGTTTCTTTGTTTGCTCATTTTGGCATTCTCCCAGCATTTGTTTCTGTTTATTAGGTAGAGCTGCTGCGACTCCCTGTCTTGGTAGCATGGCTTAATGTAGTAGGTGTCATGCAGGGTCCAGTGGCACAGCTTCCCATGTCACCCAAGCTAGGTACTTGACTTGTACCCTTTGTGTGGTCTCAGTACACCTCCTCTTGTGGTTGAACCTTGATTGCTGTTGGTAGGTCAAAAGCAATCAGGGATTTACCCAGGCCAGTCAGTTGCAAGGACTGGCTATGACCACTGACCACCAACTTCCACCCTTCGTGGAGGATCAGCTATGCTTGGGCAGGGTGGTGGTGCTCGGATATAGTCTGTAGCTGTCCACTGGGTGCGCTGGCCCTGGCGTTTCCCTGATGGTGCAGGCCTAGGTCAGCCCCATTTATGTTTTGCCTGGGGCCACCCTGCGTGAGCTATAAAGCAGTCCGAGTTGGCTGTTACTTGTGCTGGGCTTAGAGATTCCCAGGTGAGGCCAAGCTGTGAATCTGGGTTGGTTGCTGCTACTGCTGGGCCTGGGGCCACTTAGCAAGAAGTAGGCATGCTGGGGGCTCACTGAGGTTGGCTATTGCATG